GCACGGCTCCAGCGCCGAGCAAACCACTCGCGCAGCTCCTGTGGAGAGGGTAGCTCCCGCCGGGACAACGCACCCGAAGGACCTCCAGGTCCAGCACCGGCAGGCTCTGCACCCCCACTCTCAGCAACCTCAGGCTCAGCACCCCCAGACCCAGCACCCCCAGGCTCCGCACGCTCAGGCTCAGCACCCCCAGACCCAGCACCCCCAGGCTCCGCACACTCAGGCTCAGCACCCCCAGAAGTACCAGAGTCAACAGCTACCTCGACAGGCTCGACTGCATCTACCTGGGACACACCTGAGGGGGCAGGACCCTGAGGGGGGAGGGGGTCTACCCGGGGGGGAACGGGCGTGAGGAAGAGCGGCGGGGGGGGGGAGGGGGGCAGCGCGGTAGGGAAAGAGACGGTAGTACGGAACCGACTCGTCAAACGTGACGTCCTGGGAGGACAGAACACGACGCGAGGTGGGGTGGTAAAACTGCCAACCAGGCGCGTCAGGGGGGAAGCCGAGGAAGACGCAAGGAACAGCACGGGAGGACAGCTTGTCCGCAGACAAGTCACGGACGAAAGCTCGAGATCCCCAGACACGGAACGCAGACGCATCGCCAACCTTCCCCGTCCACAGCAGAGTAGGGGAGGTCTCCGGAATGGAGACCCGGGGCTGAAGGTTGATCTGATGCGCCGCGTACTGAACCGCGAACGGCCACAGAAAATGGGGAGCAGCCGCATGGATCATGGACGTACGAGCGACGTTCATGACCATGCCAATGCGGCGCTCAGCAATCCCATTTTGCTGTGGAGAGGCCGGAAGCGTGAACGTCTGGCGGATGCCCTCCGCACGACAGAAGGCTCGCAGAAGGTCGGAGGAAAACTCTCCACCTCTGTCAGAGTGCAGACGCAGAACAGGAAAGTCCGAGCCGAAACGCTCTCTGAGCTGGAGACGAGCAACGCGGATCCAGTCGATCAACACCTCAGTGACCTCATCCTTGCGGCGCAAGGGGAAGACTGTGGTGTAACGCGAGTAGTCGTCAACGACCAGCAGGAAGTAACGCTCGTGACCCTGTCCACGGACGCGGGCTGGGCCCCACACGTCCATGTGAAGAGTCTGCAGTGGAGCCTCTGTCGGGGGAAACTCGGAGGAGTGAGGAGCGGCGCGCTGCCGCCCCTCGACGCAGGGAACGCAGGTAGGGGCAGGCCCCGGGGGAAGGGGAGGGAGAGACCGGGGGAGACCAGAGACAAGGACATGGGAGGCCATGCCTCGGAGGCGAGGCAAGGAGGGGTGACCAAGGCGGTGGTGTCAGAGGAGGGTCTGGTGGGACAGGAGGCGACACGAGCAGGGGGCAGACTCAGGACCTGACCGAGACGCTGCAGAAAACACCTGACTCGATGCAGCTACCTGACCAGACGCAGCAACCGGTGGAGACTCTGTGGTCAGTGTGTACAGACTGGACCCCGGTCGGCGGGTAAACGTGGCCAAGTGGCGGCCCGTCCGAGCACACGTGCAGTGGGTCACTCGCTGACTCGCAGGAGTGAACTGGTCAACCCCGCCATCCTGAAGGTCAGCACCACTCACCAAGTTCGTAGAGAACGAGGGGAGGTAGAGACCGGACAGGGAGCCTGACGGGGCCGCCGGACACGGGAGGACAGTGGAGTAGCGAGCAAGGACAAGACCCCCAGAGGGGTCTGCCAAGGAGACCGCAACCGGCCGACTGAGCGGCGTAAGGGTGGTGCGGTCTCAAAAGAAGGAACGGGAAGCACCCGAGTCGAGGGTGAAGGTGTGCAAAACCTGAGCCGACGCAGTACCGGAGAGAGCAGTCGCACGAGTACCTGGAGCAGCATACTCGCGAGCACCTAGAGCAGCAGACTCACTAGCACCTAGAGCAGCAGCCTCAATGCCCGGGTCAGGCGGAACACGCACGTAGCAGTCACCCTCAGCACTAATAGACACAGCATACATGGCAGCAAGAATTGCATCAAAGTCAAGATCAAAGATAGCTACACCCGACTTGAGCAGATCACCCCAGCGAGGGATCTCAGTGGCGTCAGGGAACTGGGAACGCCAGGCGTCAGTCAGGCGACCGAAGCAGCGCTGGGTGGCGTGCAGGCCGCCACACTGCTCTCTAGTGCGGTCACCGGTGCGCAGGACGTAGGTACAGGGACCAGCACCCCCAGACCCCTGGCGCCCTGCGTACCACTCACGAAGCTGCTGTGGCGACGGGGTCTCACGAGAGCGCGACTGGTGCTGGGGTCCCCGCTGCACAGCTCCGCCTCGACCAGCTCCACCGCCGCCGCCTCCGCCGCCTCCACCCCAACCGCCACCGCCACCGCTGCCTCCACCGCCACTGCTGCCACCGACGGCCCCACCTCTGCCTCCGCCCCCACCCCCACCCCCTCCTCCGCCTCCACCGCCACTACCTCCTCCCCCGCCACCTCCTCCAGCGCCCTTGCCCCGCTTGCCCTTGCCGTTGCGGCGCCTCTCGCTAGGAGCAGACGCAGCGCTGACCGACTCGGTGCCAACAAGGTCGACAGCAGCAGCAGAGGCAACGGAGGGCAAAAGAGGAACGGGGGAGCACCCCTCAAAGAAAGGGGTACGGGGGTCACCACGAGAGGCTCCTACAGCGGTAATACTAGTCTCTGCTGCAAGGAGACGCTCCTCGAGGAGGTCAACGGTGAGTGTGGTAGGGCAAAGAGAGAGGAAGTGGTCCCTGACCGAGCGAAGGGTGTCAGGGAGTCGGGTGACTAGGTAGTAGAGGGTGATGTACATGGGAGGGGGGTTCTTGGCGCATAACTCAGCAGGAAGCGCAGCGCGGTAGCGGGTGTCACTAGTGCGGAGGTGCGTAATGAGGTCAGTGACTGTGGCAAAAGCGGCGAGGTCAGGGAACAGGTACGGTAGCATGAGGCGACTAAGTGCAGCAGTGGCAGGGGAAGAGTAGCGTGCAACAACAGCGTCGTACAGAGTCTTAGCACTCTTGTACTGACTAAAGTGCGTGCGCTCAGTAGACGGTAGGTGACTACGCACAGCAAGGCGGGCAGCAGCATCGCGCGTGAGCCACTGCGAGCGAACAGCACTGTCAACATCAGCAGCAGGGGCAGTAGAGGCGCCAGACGTGAGATCGAACAGTGAGAGACCATCCTTGCTATCGCACTGTAGGAAAAGCTGCAGATCATCTAGCCAGACATCGAAGTCAACCGCTCGACCCTCATCATCAAAGGTAAGAACACTGGGACTGGCCATGACAGGAGCAGCAGCAGACTAGCAGCAGTAGCAGTGCAACTAGGCTAAGCGACGCTGCTAGGTAGGGCAGCGCGGCTCGGCAGGGCGGCTCGGCAGAGCGGCGCGGCAGGGCGGCTCGGCAGAGCGGTGCGGCTCGGCAGCGCGGCTCGGCCCAGCTATGCTCTTACCAGGGGCGAGGCCGGGGCAGGGCCGAGGGAGGGCCGGGGCAGGGCTGCGACAGGTCCGGGACAGGACCGGGGCAGGGTCGGAGCAGGGCCGGGACAGAGCCTGGGCGAGGCCGCGGCGGGTCCGGGACAGAGCCGCGACAGGGTCGGGGCAGGGTCGGGGAAGGGCCGGGGCAGGTCCGGGACAGGGCCGGGACAGGGTCGGGGCCGGGGCAGGTCCGGGACGGGGCCGCAACGGGGCCAGGGCAGGGTCGGGGCCGGGGCCGGGACAAGGTCGGGGCCGGGGCAGGGTCGGGGCCAGGGCAGGGTCGGGGCCGGGGCAGGTCCGGGACGGGGCCGCGACGGGGCCGAGGCAGGGCCGGGACAGGGTCGGGGCCGGGGCAGGTCCGGGACGGGGCCGCGACGGGGCCGGGGCAGGGCCGGGACAGGGTCGGGGCTGGGGCAGGTCCGGGACGGGGCCGCGACGGGGCCGGGGCAGGGCCGGGACCGGGCCGCGACACGGTCGCAATGGGCGACGGGGCAGGGCCGGGGTCGCGCCGCGATGGGGCCGCGACTGGGCGACTCCGAGCGACGGGGCGGGGTCGCAACGGGGCCTGACGAGGCCGCAAAGGGGGCCGCTAAGGGCAGGACAGGCCGCTAGGGGGCCGCGAAGATCGAGGGTAGGGCCGAGCGCGAAGCGCGCTTCGGGCAGGTAGGTAAAAAAAAAAAAATTAACGGTGGGCCCTTTAGGAAGGAACGGTCCCAGTAGGGAACCAGCTCTATACCATGTGAAAATTGAGGAATGAATGATGGAATAGAAAATGAGTTGGGTACAAATATGAAACCCTAAGAGACTGTACCCCATAGTGTCTACCCCACTACAGCCTAAACAGGCTATGTGATTAATGTTCGACAGTTGGGATTCTGACATGGTATCAGAGCGAAGGTCTCGGGTTCGAATCCCAGTGTGTGCACTTCGGGCATCCCAGTGCGGGGGGGTGTCCGAGATCCACTGGTGATCCCCGATTGATCCTAGGGAAGTGTTACAGGCTCGTTGTCATGGGGGGGTTATGGGCGCACTGACCCGCTAATGAACAAGCCCTTTTATCCCAATGGTCTAGTGGTTGGGATTCTGACATCGTGCAGCACCGTTTGTTTTGAAGTCTGAAAAACGGTGTTAATAACGAAATCTCTCGAATGACCAAGTCTGACAAGGGCCCAGCCTGACTAGAGGCCGTAGGAACATGCCCTGAGGCTCAGCCTACACTCATAAAATTCGTCTGAAATTTCAGCCAATACATTAAAAAAAAACTCTGAAAAATCAGAGAAGGTACATATAGAAAGACTAGGTACAAAAAAAAAGCCTGAACGGACTCTGAATCAGACTTAAGTGTCTGATACCTAGGGCCCTGCCTGTCACAATTACAGCCTAGCACAATCCACGAACTGCAAAATTGTTGAACTACATGCGATCCTGGTCGAGCCACCAAAAACAAAACTCCACTTCTGGTGTAGGCAATTACTAAGCAAAATGTACCGCCGAACTGAAGCGAAATCTACATACGTGCACTGCACAAAGCTCCTAACAATGTACAACGTACATGTACCACACTCAATCTAGGCAGCTTACTTGAAGAACCCTTTCCTCCTGCCAAATAACCCTTTCCTCTTGCCAATAAACCCCTTCCTTTTGCCAATGAACCCCTTGCGTTTGCCAAGGAAAACACCTTTGCGCTTGCCAATGAAACCCTTGAACTTCCTCCCCTTAAACTTGTGATTGGGGCGACCCACATACACGTGAGCCACATTACCAGCTGCATCTCAACACCACACAAAACGGCACACAGCAGAGTAAAAAGACTGAGATACACGCATGTAATTGACATGACCTCAGCATGTCTCCGCAAGGCAACATGGAAGAAACGAAAAGCACCCTCTTGGGAAATGCGGGTGAGGCCCTTTTTGCAGCCAGCGTCCACGAACGGCGACATTCAAGTAACCAGGTGTCAGAAATTCGCCATCGCTGGTACAAAGGCGAACTAAGGTGAGACGTTACTGGCAATGGCTTACCTTAGCTGCCTCTCCCGCTTCTCACGGGCTGAGCAAGGAACATTCGACAAGATCGCTAAGTCGCGACGATTCCTCCATTCGGTGACAGTCTCACCCCGCAGTCAACATGTTTTGCGAAGTCCCAATCACCGATCTATATGAAAAATCAAGGAGGCCATCCGTCAAGATTACCTGGTAGCTGTAGGTCACTCGGGGTGGTGAATCCACATCTACAAATGCATTCATGCATTCCCACCCTAACAGCAACAGAAATTATTTTGAGCTCCGCGCATTTCATGGCGCAATCCACGGTTCACACTTTCCGGCTCACCTGGGTAGCCGCGGGGTGCGGAGTACGCAGAACCAGACGGGTAGCCGGCAGGCGGGTATCCTTGAGGGGGATAGCCGGCGGGAGGCGGGTACCCCTGTGGCGGATATCCCTGAGGGGGGTAGCCGGCGGGTGGGTAACCCTGTGGAGGATATCCTTGAGGGGGGTAAGGGGGGTAGCCGGCGGGTGGAGGCGGGTAACCCTGCTGCGGAGGATAACCGCCTTGTGGTGGAGGGTAACCCTGAGGAGGGTATCCTCCTGGGTAACCCTGCGGAGGCGGATAGCCCTGAGGATACCTCGGATCTGCAGAAACGCGTGTATATACACACAAAACGGCATTTTTAGGAAAAGAAACTCAGACTATACAGTAATCCACTAGGATTGGACGAATTGCTAAAGATAAAAGCACGCCTGAAGAATAGTGGAAGACATGTCACGTCACAAAATCCTTAAGAATGACATGTGATAGCGACTTCGTACCCGACATGACGCTGGGAGATGCCGGATCAGGAACGATTTATGACTGCCTCCTTAGCTCGAAAGATGAGCCTAAGTGCCAGACTGCCAGTTCACGACACACAACACTGCTTTCATACAAGCTTCTCCAAGCTCCATTGTCCCCACCCCAGTCCGTAGGGAGAGGCAAATTTGGGAACATGGGGTTTGAGTTAGTCTACCAGCAGTGAATTTAGGGGAACGGGAATGGAAACCGTAGATATGGAGTGGTGCAGTTTGAGGGCAGAGTGGTTTTGGATGCTCGCAGTGATGGTTTTGGTGCGTTTGAGGCTTTCCAGTACGGTGCAGAGTTTTTAGTATGGTAATGTGCGGCAGAGCACACTTAGGGGAGCCAAGTTCCACACATCACCAATTTGCCTGGCTCAAGCAGGCAATACTGTACATGCTTGCGTTCCTCCCGCTCGCCATCATGGTTGCCCCCTTCGATATTTTGCGCGGAACTCTTCCGCCCGTCCGTCAATTTGGGACAGAAAATGAGCGACCCCAGTCCCTGGACGAGAAAACAGGCCAAACGAACCTCGTCTAGAGGTACGGCAAAAAGGGGCTCGCTACTTCGGGCTCCGGCGTGGGCTCTGACCTAGGGACGGGGCTGGGCTGCTCGCTCGGGGAGACTTTCAAACCTGACCACAGATGTCGAGTGCCCCGATACAAAGCCAATTTGGGAGTAATGGTCAAGTTGAGGTGTGAATCGTTATGGTGGCCAACTAATTTGCTTAAATACACAGAAGATATTTTTGGCAATTGCAACAAACAAGTACCTTGCATCTAGGAATGCAACGTGACAGGCTCGACTTGAAGACCTCTCCCCCCGAGGTCACTGCAACATTTGAAAGAGTACGCGCCACAAAACAAAGGTATTCCGACCATTGTCTAGGAATGTATACATAATTTAACCACGCACGTTTGGACAATCCACTAGGGTACGGTAATTGGAAGAAGAGAATGAGAGTGCCGATCTGACATGGCCTGACAAGCATTCATCCGATCTGAACTTGCCAATACTAATCACAATCTTCCAGCTAATGCTCCCAGACAGCAAGCCAGTGCTTCTAATGAATGCAGCGGAAAGAGAGGAAAAACATCCCAAGGTGTTCACTGTAAAAGTGGAGAAAACGCACATGGGGGACGTACATTGCTTTAAGATTGGGTGCGAGCAAGGATGGGAGAACTGGGATGGTAGAATTGATGAGGCAAGGAGATAAAGGGAAAGGAAAAGTTGAAAGTGAACATTTAATATGTGCGTGTGTGTGTGTGTGTGTGTGCGCGCGCGCGCGCGCTTGCATGTATGAGCGTGCGTGTATGTGTGTGTCTTTGTGTGTGTGTGTGCGCGCGCTTGCATGTATGAGCGTGCGTGTGTGTGTGTGTCTTTGTGTGTGTGTGTGCTTTTGTGTGTGTGAACATACATGTGGTGCATTTGCATGTGTGTGTGTATGTGTGTGTGTGTGTGCGTATGTGTGCGTGCATACGTGCATGTATGTGCGTGTGTGTATGTGTGTGTGGTGTGTACGCGCATGCTAAAAACATGTCAAAGCTTAAAAAAAAAAAAAAAAAAACCACAGGAAAAAAAAAAAAAACGAGGTGGATAAATGGAAAAGAGATCAGGACTCACGGAATTGCCCACACGCCGATCTGAGGTGCACCCGCCAAGGTGAACAACGAATTGCACGCTCCAGCACACCCATACCCATAGTACGCACACACATTCGTGCAGTTTCCCACCCCTCCAGGAGCAGGCTCTATGCGGGTGTAGGACAGGACATCAGTGGCGCGGGGGAGAGTGATGTCTGTGCAGCCATCCCAGTTGATCCGCATGGTGGATGTGAAGCGAGTGATGGTGAAGTTGGGCTGATCATAGAAGGTGAAGCTTGTGGAGGATACGGTGGGTGTGGCGCCTGCAAAGGGAGGGGGATATGGGGAAGAAGGATGGTTTATACATGGTGTATGCGTAGTGTAGGGCGTTAAGGGGCAAGGGGGTGGCAACACAGGGTGGTGAGATTTCAAGTGCACTATGAGGAAGGCTGGAAGTGTGAAGAGGGAGAAGCTTGTGGATGAGACAATGGGGTGGCGCCTGCAAGCAAGGGGGTGGCAATACAGGGTGGAGAGATGTCAAGTGTGTTATGAGGAAGCTTGGTAGCATGTAGAGATAGTGTAGAGATAGTGTAGAGAGCATGTAGAGAGCATGTAGAGAGCATGTAGAGAGAGAGGCTGGTGGAGTAGATGGTGGGGGTGGGGCCTGGAAAGGATTGGATCAGAGGGAAGAAGGAAGCTAATACAGACAAAAAATGCTCTTACGCAAGTACATGCTGCACTTGAGCTCATACACACAGTACATGCTGCACTTGAGCTCATACATACAGCACATGCTTTTGAGCCTACATATCAAGACTATACACTACACACATCACATGTTATTGCTTGCACACAACATATGCTTTTGATGTTCGCACACACAACACATGCGATAGTGCTCACACATACATACCTTGAGCACAGCGCACACAGCGTAGCACACAAAGCACAGCACACGTTCTCTCAAAAGACAGATTTTACAAGCATGCAGTGTTGGTCCTGCCATGACCAGGAGGGAGCGTCACCACTCACACTCCACATGCACACATCACAGCACTTGCCTTGCACCCACACATGCATACCCTTCACCCATACACATACATACATTTCACCCACACACATACATACATTTCACCCACACACAAACATACATTTCACCCACACACATACATACATTTCACCCACAGACATACATACATTTCACCCACACATCGCTTGCCTTACACTAACACACAAACCTTGTATGCATCTAGTGCTGGTCATGCCATAAGCAGGAGCAAACATCGACACACCACACACTCCTGCACTCACACATGCACACATCACATGCTCTTGTATGCTCACTCGTACACACTCCACATGCTCTTGTATGTGTTAGAAATAGGCTGTCAACAATTTGTGTACTTTGTTTAATATGCTTTTAGGTTATTTGCGGGTTGGGTGTAGATTTGTAATCCCAACCCTATCCGGTTGGGATCTCCCGTAATCCAACAAATCTGCCAACTCACCATTGGAGATTGGCTTGGATTCCCATTCCATCCTTTCCCTAGCTTTGCTCAACCCATTCTTCTTTGTACTTAAGGCCCAGTGCCTTCTATGCTAATCAATCAGTTCAGCTCCAATTCTATCAGTATGCTCACTCGTACATACCTAACACGCAACCAGTGCTGGTCATGCCATAACCAGGAGCGCACATGCAGTAAGCAGTGCGGGTCAATGGGAGAGGAGTGCACGTGGCACCTGCAGGGCATGCCCCACACGTAGCAGGCCCTGTGGGGAAGGCAGGAAGGAGAAGCACCAGGGGGGGAGGAAGGGGGGGTGGTGGGGTGGAGTGCTTTTGTGGTGCACACTTGGGGAGAGCAGACGTTTTAGTGGCCCCTGCAGGGCATGCCCCACACGTGGCCAGTCCTGTGAGTAGGGCAGGAGGAGCAGGAAAAGGGGGAAGAGAAGGGGGGAACACTGGTATTGCACAGCACACTCAGAGAGAGCAGACTAGCATGTGGCCTCTGCAGGGCATGCTGCACCCTGCAAGGTATCTTACATTCTATTGCTGAGGTTATAACAACAGAAACGGGAGCAAGAGCGAAAGAGAAACCAACAGAAGAGCGACATTAGCGGTGACTCACCTTGCCTAGCATGACCTTGCTTGCCTTTGGTTGTAACATCTTATATACATATATACCACATCAATAAAAGGACCATTCGAGAAACCAACAGAAAGAGACAGGGGATAACACGCACCAACACACGTGTCGCCCACCATCTCGTACTTGCACACACAGGTCACTGCACACACAGGTCACTGCACACACAGGTCACTGCACACACAGGTCACTGCACCCGCAGCATCCTTCACACACGCATGGTTGCCATCATAGATAGAGCACGGCTCTGCAAGGGGGTGGGGAGGGGGTGAGGGAGGCGGGCACGAGATGGGGGTCTTTTGAGCCAGTTATAAAAATGTAGGATCATTCATACAGGCATGGTTGTTATGACAGATAGAGCACAGCTCCGCAGGGGGGGGGAGGAGGTGGGCGGGGGAGAGGGGTGGGTGGGTAGTTGGAGTTTGTTTGACCGTCAAAAGTCATGTCACGTTTGTCCTTCACGCATGCATGGTTGTTGTCACAGATAGAGCACGCCTCTGCAGGGGGAGGAGGAGGTAGGTGGGGGAGAGGGGTGGGGGGGGGGTTGAGCTTTGGTTGGTAATTCAAAAGTCATTGTGACAATCATCGTGACGCATGCATGGTTGCCGCCACAGAGAGAGACTGGCTCTGCAGGGAAACATGAGTCATTATGAGTCATTGTGAGTGATTATGAGTCATTATGAGTCATCAGGTACATGCATTTGAAAAAGTCATTGTGACAATCACTATTTCGCATGCATGGTTGCAGTCACAGAAAGAGACTGGCTCTGCAGGGGGGGAGGTGTGGGGAAGGTGGAGCGAGGTGGGGGAAATTTTGAACCAATCAAAATATTGCAGCATCCTTCACGCATGCATGGTTGCCGTCACAGATAGAGACCAGCTCTGAAGGAGGAAGGTGTGGGGAGGGGGAGGGCGGAGTTGCTGCTGCACGTTTCTGTAGCATAGAAGAAGGGAAATAGGAAAAAGAGGAATGGTTGCATGGTTCCCTTTGAGAATTCTCAAAAGTAACACCAACATAGCATTCAAAGGGAGCTTCGAGAGCAGGCATGCACACAGCAGCACCCACCAATGCACGTCCTGCCATTCGCCTGCAGCACGAAGCCCGGGTCACACACACAGGACGCCACTCCACCACTGTTCACAATGCATGTGCTGTTGGCGCTGCAGGCTTTGACCACACAGGGACCTGGGAGGGAAGGGGGAGACGGAGGGAAGGTAGGCTAGGGAAGTTATAGATGAACGGAAAAGGAAAGGAGAGAGTCAAACGTCACGCGCTGTTGGCGCTGCAGGCCTTGACCACAGAAGGACCTGGGGGAGCGGTTGCACGTAGCAGGGGAGTGAGGAAGAGGAGGGGAGTGTGTGTGGGAGGGGACACAGGATGCTACCCCACCACTCTTTGCGACACATGTGCTATTGGCGCTGCAGGCCTTTATGACACAGAGACCTGGATGAGAAGCAAGGGCGAGGGAGGGGATGGAGCGTTGGAGAGTAAGAGGTGACTCTTTCGTGAGCGGACTGAAAAGTCTCGTGCTGTTGTTGCTGCAGCCCTTGACCACACAGGGACCTGGAAGGGCGGATAGGCGAGGGATGGGAGGGAGCACTGGAAGCTAAGAGGTGACTTGAGACAACTGGAAAGTCATGAGCTACTGGCGCTACAGCGCTTGACCACATAGGGACCTGGGAGGGCGGTTGCATCTAGGAAGAGAGTGTGGGCGGGAGAGGACCGAGTGTGGGTGAGGAATGAGTATGTGAGTAGAGGGTGGGGGGAGAGAGTGTGACAAGGGGGGGGGGGTATGGCAGCAGCAGCAAACGACCAACATTCACGGCAGCAGCAGACAGCAGCACAGCAGCACAGCAGCACACCAGCACAGCAGCACAGCAGCACCGCAGCACAGCAGCACAGCAGCACCGCAGCACAGCAGCACAGCAGCCCAGCAGCACCGCAGCACAGCAGCAAAGCAGCACAGCAGCACAGCAGCACAGCAGCACAGCAGCACTGCAGCACAGCAGCACAGCAGCACCGCAGCACAGCAGCACAGCAGCACAGCAGCGCAGCAGCACCGCAGCACAGCAGCACAGCAGCACAGCAGCACAGCGGCACAGCAGCGCAGCAGCACAGCAGCACAGCAGCACAGCAGCGCAGCAGCACCGCAGCACAGCAGCACAGCAGCACAGCAGCACAGCAGCGCAGCAGCACAGCAGCACCGCAGCACAGCAGCACAGCAGCACAGCAGCACCGCAGCACAGCAGCACCGCAGCACAGCAGCACAGCAACCCAGCAGCACCGCAGCACAGCAGCACAGCAGCACATCAGCACAGCAGCACAGCAGCACAGCAGCACCGCAGCACAGCAGCACCGCAGCACAGCAGCACAGCAGCACAGCAGCGCAGCAGCACCGCAGCACAGCAGCACAGCAGCACCGCAGCACAGCAGCACCGCAGCACAGCAGCACCGCATTACCTGCCAACGCCAACACAACAACACTCACCAACAGGGGAACAACTGAAGGAGTGGTAAGGGTACGACCCCACTAGAGTATAGTTGCTGGTGGGTGGGGTGGGTGGGAGAGATAAGCACAGAATGGAGTTGGGAGAAAGCCACAGGGGCAGAGGGGGAGAGAAGATTTGATGCAAGAGAAGAGAGTAAAGATTTGATTTGAGTTCATGAGCGGCACAATGTGCATGTGTTTTGCCATGTCTGCATGTGCCATGTCATGTCTGCATGTGCCATGTCATGTCTGCTGCCTGCATGTGCCATGTCATGTCTGCTGCCTGCATGTGTCATGCGCGCAGAACTCAAGTCATGCGGGCATGCGTCATGCCACGTGTGTCAAGCTACGTGTGCCATGCCATGTGTGTCATGCCATGTGCATATGAAGTGCCATACTATGCGTGCATGCAGTCCCATTCGAGGCGGTAGGCAGACAACTCTCCCGAGTGTAACCATACAGCAACACGGAGTTACGTCCGAGTCAACTGAGCTCAATGGGAGCTGTGGCTCACAATGACTCCTCTGCACCTACACTGACCAGTGAACCTCCTCCACTCACATGGCTCCTGCAGCGCTGATTCCGGTCCCACTCGAGGCGAGAGGCAGCCAAGTGGGGGGTCCCTGGCAGATCTCCCGAGTGTAACCATTAACCATACACCGAAACACACAGTTACGTCCAACGAAACACACACAGTTACGTCCGACGAAACACACACAGTTACGTCCGACGAAACACACACAGTTACGTCCGACGAAACACACACAGTTACGTCCGAGTCAACTCAGCTCAATGGAAGCAGTGACTGATAGTGACAGTGAGTCAGTAACTCCCCTCCCCTGCACTCACATTGTTCCTTCCGCACTGATTCCCGTCCCACTGGAGGTGATAGGCAGCCACGTGGGAGGCCCCTGGCAGCTCTCCCGAGTGTAACCATACACTGAGGCGCAGTTATCCGCACCCCCAGGGACCCCGTCCACACGCCACAGGGAGAGGGCGCGCTCGGCGACGGATGCAGGGATGGATCTGCAGTCGTTGTATCGCAGACGCATGGTGTAGGTGGTGGGGCTGATGGTGTAGTTTGTCTGATCGTAGAAGGTGATGCTGGTGGAGGAAGCATCGGGACGAGCTCTTGGGTAGCATTAGGGAGGGGAATGGGGAAAGTGGGGCGGAAACAAAGAAGATGGCATTTGAGTTTATTCGAAGCCCATGCCATAATTGGACGCACATGCCATAATAGGAAACCCATGCCATAATCGAAAACCCATGCCTTAATTGGAAACCCATGCCTTTATTGGGAACCCATGCCTTGGAAACCCGTGCCTTTATTGGAAACCCATGCCCTTATTGGAAGGCCATGCCTTTATTGGAAGCCAAGATCGTACCGCTGATGCAAGACGAGTACCCCATGCCATAGCCAGGAGGACAGACGCAGTACGGCACATTGCCAGAGGTAACCGTGCAGGTGGCTCCTGTGGGGCAGCTCCCACATGTGGCGGGGCCTGGGGTGGGGACGAGGGAGGAGATGAGGAAGAGGAAGGATGAGCAAGACGAGTACCCCATGCCATAGCCGGGAGGACAGATGCAGTACGACACATTGCCAGAGGTAACCGTGCAGGTGGCTCCTGTAGGGCAGGTTCCACATGTGGCGGAGCCTGGGGTGAGGGGGAAGAGGGAGAGGAGATAAGGAAGTAGGAGGAGAAGCAGAAGAGGGAGGAGAAGAGGAAGAGGGAGGAGATGAGGAAAGAGGAGAATATGACTCATCGCGACACAGCATGGCGACGAATGAAAAAACAATCGTGCAGGTGGCTCCTGTAGGTAGGGCAGTTCCCACACATGGCGAGGCCTGGGGAGGTGAGGAAGAGGGAGATGGGGAAGGGGGAGATGGGGAAGGGGGAGATGGGGAAGGGGGAGATGGGGAAGGGGGAGATGGGGAAGGGGGAGATGGGGAAGGGGGAGATGGGGAAGGGGGAGCAGATGCTTTATAACGACACAGAACACCCAGGAGATGCTGATTATGGCATACGATGAATAACAAAGGCCAGCATGGAGTAGTGGTAAGAGCTCACTGTGATGCATACACTGAAAGAGGATGCAAAACACCAGCTTGGCTTTAGTTTTGACACCCCTACAGTAACACAAACGCCCGAGCACAAGTACCAACAAAGAAACAGAACACAAGCTATTGGAGTTATAGCAGATTATACCACTAATATGACACGCACCAACACATTTGCCAGAGATGCCCTGATAGCCCGCCTTGCACACACAGGTTGCCCCGCCTGCAGCGTCCCTCACACAGTCATTTGTGGGATCGCAGATACTGGACCCACACGCCTCTGCGGGAGGAGATAAGATAAGGGCAAGAAGTGGCATGAACCGGAGAGTCGGACAGGAGTAAAGAGGGGTTGGGAGGGTGGCCTGAGTGAATGGATAGGAAGAAGAATGAGAGATAAAACAGTATTACACGTGAGAGGGCATGAGAAGGCTTGGTTCACAGCTGCAGACAGCGATGCACAACACCACACAGAACCGTGCAGCACCACACAAAACCACGTAGAACCACAGAGCACCTCACAGAACCATACAGCAGCACATACCAGTGCATGTGGTGCCGTCAGATTGCAGCAGAAACCCAGCGTTACAAACACAGGAGGCCACCCCAGCTGCAGACAGACAACATCGCAAAGCACCATACAGAATCACACAATACCGCACAGCAGCACATACCAGTGTACGTGGTGCCGTCAGAGTGCAGCAGAAAGCCCGTGTTACAGACACAGGAGGCCACCCCAGCACTGTCCTCAACACACGTGCCATTGCCCCCATAGCTCTTGGTCGCGCATGTCTCTGTTAGGGGAAGAGAGTGAACACGTTTCCAGGATGGTTTTCCTTTTGGATGTTTTTGCATTTGGTGTGGTGTGGTATGACATTGCAGCAGCAGCAGGTGACACGTGAAATGTGAGCAGAAAAGGGAGTCAGACTCTACAAAAAGAATATTGGAGGTGGAAACTGTGTAGTGCAGTTTAAAGTGCACTTGCAACAACGAGAACTGTGAAACACAGTAGCAACAACCAACACAGTAGCACTCAACAGCAGCAACACAGCTGAAGGAGCTGTAAGGATATCCGAAATAATAACTGTGGGCGAGGGGACCGACCGGACACAAAAACGGGCAGGCAGTGAGGAAACTCGTATTGAGGCGCCTCAAAATCAGACTCCGAAAAACAAGAGTCGTAAGGGCGTGTAACCATTTTGCACACGACGGTTCGTTATTCGGACCGTCCGTTCGAAATAGTGGTATCTACTATCGCTAATATTCGGTTTGGGTTTCGTTAGTAACGCTGCGATGTCGCACACGCAACATAACCATGTGGAACATTTTGCAGGAAAGAGCGGAAACTGAGCACCCGAGCGGTTACGCTTCGTCATAAACAGACTGTTCGAATTTGGCGACTCCTGGTTGGCGCGCGAAAACACACTGTCATTGCGTCAGCAGGCGACACTGCCATTTCATCGGTGAATTTGTTGGAATGAACTGCTGCTGCTGCTCGCGTGGCACCAGGGTGGCGGGAAAATTTTCACGTGGCGAAAATTTTCGCCACAGTTTCCCCGTCAGCCAAAATTCGAATCTGCAAAGGGCATCTCCCAACATTACCCATTCGCCACTTCATCATCCTTATCTCCAGTCAGCAAGGCACACTTCCATTTTCACCCAATACAAATCCTTCAATCCTCCACCTCATATCTTCTCCAATCCTCCTCCACCAATCAATCCAAAGATTCCCTACCAAGCCTTAAATCAAAGCCCCATTCATTCCAATCACGAAGCCTTAATTTCAAGGCCACATTCATTCCACTCACCAAGCCTTAAATCAAAGCCCCATTCATTCCAATCACCAAGCCTTAATTTCAATGCCACATTCATTTTACTCACCAAGCCTTAAATTCAAGGCCACATTCATCACCCCCACCTTATCCAACTTAACCAATCACAATCATTCATCTCCTCCTCTTCTTCATCCAACCTCAAGCTCCACCAAATACAAAACAAAGGGTCCACCCCATTCTTCATACATACTTTTCAAGCAAGTTTTTACCTAAGCTCTGCACAAGTTCTACTCCAAGCTCTCACAAGGCCACTTCAAAGTCCTCCTCCTCATGCCCAACTCCTAAGGCTCCACTCACCACCAACCTCTCCCAATCCAAGCTCATAGCCATGTTCTCCAACTCTAGAGAAGCTTATGCTTCATAGTCTTTCTACTAGATTGTTATCAATGGTTGCTCTTTAAGTCCATCATGTACCTCCTTTGGACTAGTGCATTTTAAGTTTTGAGGCCTCAACATCAACATTTGACTTTCTTCTAATCAAGACTCAAGCTTCACCTTCAACACTCAAGATTGGAGGTTCTTCTCTACACAATAAACAAGATCTACACCTCAACACTCAAGCTTGGAGGTGCTTCTCTACTCAACAATCAAGCTTGGATCTCACTCTCCTTCCAACAATCAAGATTCACAATTCAAGCTTGGCTTCTTCAAGTTACAAAGCTCCTTCAAAATGACAAGTAAGACTCTTTAAGGTAAGTCACCTCCTCCTTTCACTTTTGTCAAGTTTCTCAATTAAAGCTTCCCTATTCAAAGCCTCTTCATTCTTATCAAGTCTCCTTTCTTCTCAAATCTTAGTTTCCATTATCAAGTTTGTTTATTTTTTCAAGCTCTTTTACCTTCTCATCAATCACCCATTCAATATCTTTCTTTCAATCAATTGTTCTCTCCCTTTAATGTCTTCATCATCTTCCTTTCAAGTTTGTTATTTTTATCCTTAACCTTATTAGCCTTTACGTTCTTACTCAATCTCTTCTTCATAGGTTTCTTTATCTTATCAATTTTGTCTTACTTCACTCTTAACTCTTTCTTCTAGGAGTTTTCTTTCTCTCTACTTGCTATTTACCCTTCCTAATCCTTTACTTCAATTTTCAAGTGAATTTTGGGGGGAAATGCGCCTCGACGATGCATTTGTGGGATTTGAAGCGCTCTGGGATTGTGCAGGTTCCCCCATCTCAAAATGTTGAAATACACTTCAGGCAGCCCACCACTATGGATAACTTCTCAAGCGACGGGGACAACTCCCAACCCCTTCCCACCCCGGGTAGTGCGACCTTTACCCAGCCTACTGACCCTGATGCTACTGCCAACAACAATCACGAGACTCAAGAGTCTGTGATTCCTACCGCTGCTTGCTACTACTACTACACCTGGAGCACCGTCTACTATCACTCCTGCCGCTACGCCTGCTACCACCAATGCCACTGACGACCCCAACTGGTGGGGAAACCGCCTCCCTTCGCCTACGGCCCCGTACGACGACAACAAGGATTACGGCCTCTTTCTAGGAGGTGCCGAGGACGCGCCAACTTCTGAGCTGGACGAGGAAACCGGGCCGTCCGCTGCTGCAACTGGCACAACTTCCGGTACCACTAGGCGCTCCACAGCGCGCACTCATCAGCGCTGGTCTGTCAATGAGGAGTTCGAACTCCTTGCCGCCCGTTGGGATCTTGATGCCGACATTCGTCGACGCACGGGCCAGCAAGGGAGGAGCTGGTACCCGCCCATCCAGCGCGAACTCGTGGATTGCCATCCCGATTGGCCCCACGACATATCTTCGATCAAGGCGAAGTTCACCCGTCTGAAGGAGCAGTGGCGTCGTCTGCGGACGCAAGTCGATCGCTCAGGAGCTGCGCACGTGCACAACCTCCCGATGTGGTACCAGCTGGGTGAAGACCTCTGGGGTGAGCGCCCCAGAACTGCCCCACCCGTTTTGGCAGGTTCTGGACTTCCTGTAGCCCCGGAACCAGCTAACGTTCATTCTGGCGGTACAAACCCTGCTCCAGCCCCCCCATCCCCCGCAGTGACCGCTCCGCTTGTCGCGCCAGACGCTATCCCTACTCTTATCTCCCCGAAAGCAACTCAGGCACCGCCAGCAAGCCCGGCGCCTCCGACTCCTTCTCCGTCCCGTAGCCGACTGCCCACTCCGTCTCTGCTGTCTCCTGACACCATCGCTCAAACTAGCGATGGAACTGCAAGACAGTCCCATTTGATGCCGTTGGAGTCGCAGATTAGTTGCAATATCATAGAGTAGAAACCCTTTTTATGTTTGAAATCTTCTCTGTCCTTACCAAACCCGCGGCATCTAATGAAAGTTCCATCCATGGCGCCAGCCACCCCCGGAATGCCTCCTTTGTATCTGAATTCCTTGGCCATCTTTGCAAGTTGCTCACGTGTAGGCCACCTAACCCATAGTGGCAGTAGCACCTCGTACAAAAACCCTATAAACCCGAGAATAATCCGTCTCGCGTGTTGAGGCACCACCCCGAACTGCAGTCCCGAGGTGTACAAGCGTCATCGCCACACACGTCTCAATAGGGATGACGCCCCGTCGGTCCCCGTTCTTAGCTACCCAAGCGTCCACCAAGTAATAAAAAACGGCTTTGTTAATTCTGAAGCAGTCACTGAAAACCGTGGCGGGCATTCTATTTCTTACAGCTTCCCGGATGCCGAGTCAACGGAGGTTACTTGCGGTTAGCTACGTCACGTGAACAACGGGGAGATAAATCGACAGGTGCAAGCAGGATCAACCAAAGGTATGCATGCAGGATCAACCGTTAGGGAATCCGAACGACAGGAGGTTGAATACGGCGGCCAACCCGTACGCAACCGACTGCAGTAAGGATGTATAGAGGTTACATGCGGTTGCCAAACCGCATGTGGGACCGGAATAGCCGCTTAAAAGTAGTCAGGTCCCGAGTATAAGAGTAGAGGGATTCTGAATGATAGGACAATCGTCCGGTTCTACTCTTGTGTATTACCTCGTTGATTATACAAGGGATTCTACCTGCATCACCTTGCATTGACCAACGATTGCTGGAATTACCGGGCTAGCCCAGATAGGCGTGAGACCCATTTCCAGTAGGGATCCTCGGGATTAGAGACTGGGCGATCGAGATCCGTGGTGGGACTACCGGTCGAGGGCGAGGCATTTGGTCATACCCAGGGCCGGTGAGGGAGGCATCCCCTGCTTGTCAAACGAGGAGAGCCATCAGAGGATGGGCGCAACTCAGCCGAACCATCCTTCCATCTTTCATGACAATCGACTCTTCCCCTGAAGCCGGAGAGGAGTCAGGAGGGTCCCGGAAGTAAGGGCTTCACCGGGTCGAGCGTCGCTTCATCGTCCCCTTGCCCGACCCTGCATCACCACTGCCAGGAGGCAGTCGGATCTACTCGTGGGGACAAACAACCAGCAACAGCTGCCAGGCGAGCAACCCTAGAAGAAAAACACGCCCAATCCAGAACAGGGGGAGGGGCCAAAGTCAACC